GCTAAGATTAAGGCAATTAAGGAGTGACTGGCTCCAAAAACAATCAGTGATGTACGCAGCTTCCACGGGTTGGCAACCTTCTATAGGTGGTTTGTGAGAAATTTCAGTACCATAGCAGCCCCCTCACGAATTGTTTGAAGCAGAAACAATTACATTGGAATGATGAAGCAAATAAAAGTTTTGCGCTTTTGAAGAAGAAGTTGTCTAGAACTCCTATTTTGGCCCTTCCGAATTTTGAGAAACTGTTTGAAGTTGACAGTGATGCTTTTGGTGTGGGTACTGGAGCAGTGTTGTCCCAAGAAAGGAGGCCAATTGCTTTCTTCAGTGAAAAACTTAGCTACCCCAGAACAAAATGGAGTACTTATGAGCAAGAATTATATGCCATGGTGCGAACTTTACAATATTCGGAACCATATTTGATACAACGTGAATTCATCCTTCAGAGTGATCATCAAGCCTTGAAATACTTGCAGAATTCAGCCAAGCCTAACCGCATGTATGCTAGATGGATCGCATACATTCAGAGGTTCACATTCTCTTTGAAGTACAAATCTGGAACACTCAACAAGGTTGCAGACGCCTTAAGCAGGAGAACTCATTTGCTTACAGTTGTCCGGGCTGAGATTAAAGGGTTTGTGTACCTGAAGGACCTTTACAACATAGATGAGGATTTCAAGAACATTTGGAAGCGGGTTACTTCTAGTGTCTCCATTTCGAAACTTCCAAGTTCAAGATGACTACCTATTTTATGATGATTGCCTATGCATTCCTCGTGGATCACTATGGGAACTCCTCATCAGAGAAGTACATGCCGGTGGGCTAGGAGTTCACCTTGGACGGGACAAAACCATCTCTTTGGTGGAGTCTCGGTATCATTGGCCACATCTGAAGCGAGACATAGAGAAGTATGTACAACGGTGCTACATATTTAAGACTCCTAAGGGACAGGAGTAGAATACCGGATTATATACACCATTACCAATTCCCGATACTCCATGGGAAGCTTTATCTATGGACTTCATCCTGTTGGGAATTTACTTAAT